CTGCGGCGTTGAGGCAAGGTCTGAAGACAGCTTAAATACTGTGGATCCTCTGATGATGGAATGAGCTCCAGCTGTGCAGGAGGCTCGACTCAGGAGGATCCATGGCGGACTCTGCTGGAGGAAGGTGGTACTTCTCCAGCTCCCAACAATCACCAAAACTTAATGGATTGTTCCTTGTCATGAGGGACACCTCTGATAAAAGATTCATTAAAATCTGTCCATTTTGTTGTATTTCTGTACACAGACACACAAACTCTGTTAAAAACATAACCTCCTTGCCAGAGGTTCAACAATGAGCCTATTATAAACCTTGTTAAACAGGACAGAACTGTTATAAGCAGTAAGTTTAGAAGTTTAACAGATTTTTGTCCTGGTCCTTGAACGCAGCACTGTCATTCTGTTTCAGATCATGAAGTGCGTGTGGATGTGTGCGTTGTTCCTGTTCACTCTCATCCATGGCGGTTGGACCATCGGTGATCAGCGCTGCTCTAATGAACCCCACTGCAGGCTTGACCCAGAGGTCAACATGAACATTGTGAGAACGCTACAGGTTTCCTACCTTCAGGTGGTCTGTGTTCTGCAGGAAGTCGGAGACAAAATCTCCAGGTGGTTCTGATCCAAAGCAGGATGCAGATTCCTGAGTTTTAATGAATTCATAGCAGAAACTGATGGAAGATATTTAGTTGAAATACAAAATCCCCAATCTGTTTTTAACAAAAATAAAAGCATCTTTTCTGATGGGGTATTTTTAATCAATATTTTTTAAAACAAAACTAGCTAAATTAATTTGAAAGTATCAATACAGTGATTTAAATTACATTTACACCTTGGGTGCTCTTCGGGCAGGAAGGGTCCTGTGAAATCAGGGTCACCAAATGATGTCTGTGGGCAGCAAGACAAATCATATGTATGACCTACCAGGGGGGGGGGCACTGAGTTGGGATAATTCCTGCAGGTTTTTGAGTTGTTGTCCGTCTGCCACTCAGACACAGATCATTCGGCGGTGGGGTTACCCTGCAGAGGAGCATGAGGTCGTGACAGAGGATGGCTACATCCTGACAGTCAACAGGATCCCTCATGGACTCAGACACTCTGCAGGTGGTTTTCTAATTCTATTCCAGTTTTTTGTAGTTGTTTTTACTTACACCAGTACGCTGATAAAGATTAGGTAGATCGAACACCCCCGGCTCAAACTGGTTCTTTATGTCCATCCT